ATAGGGAAATCATTATAACTACAATTCCACCGAATCAGTTCTATCGACACAGGCTTAAGTGCCAGCCTGCCGGCTAACAGTGTGTGTTGGAAGGTAATAAGATTCACATGCTGTACTTGTTTTGATCCAGTAAGTCATTTTCAAGTGTTTGAAAGAACGTCTGAAGAAGAGCACGAAGGCTATGAAATAGAGGCAGTTGCATCATGCCAGTTGCATGGTTGACCGGGGCTAATCGGTAGGTAGAGCGTTGGACTCAAAACCCACAGCTGACTAATGACATTGAAATGGAAATCAGCGCCCCATCACCAACTTCTTAGAATTGGCCACATCGTTTAAGAATAAGGAAGATCGAAAATCCGACGGATTCAAAATTTCCCAACTTTCCTTACCTTACATGGCGCTGAAAGATTCAGGTTCGAATCTCAAAAAGCAAAAGATTGTTCTTACCACTAGTAAGGACTTCGCGTCACATTCCTTTGGTGTACCCAGGCTAAAGAGGTTAACAAGTAAACTACTGGGAAACAACAAGGACGGCATGGCGGTATTATGTGTTTATGCCATAATCGTTGAATACTATGGTCGTACTGTCGATAACGAGCATGCTGCAACTATCCAGTGTGATGGACAATCAGCAGAAGGTACAAACCCTGCTGTTGTACCAATACTTCAAGCCACCAGAAACTATTTCTATTCGTACTTGAGGCTTTTGAATTTCTTCCAACAGTCAAGGGAAATTTACGGAAGGCGCAGATCAAGTAGGTAGGTAGTAACGAAACTTTACAGGCTTTGCGTCTGATGCAGTCACCGAAACACTTCATCAACCAAATTATTTTCCTCGTTTACTGCACCATGGTTTTGAGGTTTTAAGGGCAATGGGTTCAGAAAACTTTTCCAATAATGTCGGCCGTCTACGAGTCATGAAATAAATCCTAAGGCGTGACAGTGGCGCTCAATATGCCCTAGCTTTCATTCACTATTTCGCCATTTGGCAACCTACAGTATGGCTTTCCAACTTGTTTCCCATCAAACGTGCACGCTACGTATCCAAACCATTGCACTTCCGATCTCTCGGTTTGAAGAAGGAACGACTTAAGCGAAAGTATGTCAGATTTGAACGCTTGACGATTCTCCTTATAAAAGCAGTTTTTGAAAAAACTGTATTTCTACCCCCCCCCCTCCTCAACTCCTTTCATTTCGTATTCCTGTTGCTACCACTAGCTATTCGGTCCGGCTATCTGCCGCGTAACCTCAGTGAAAGAAAGAAACCACAAATGGAAAAACTACGGGAGCAGTCAAACGTGCCAAAAATAGCAAACTTCCTCTTTATTTTGCCTTGTGTGAAAAGATTTCATACCTTTGTCTGTGGCTAGTTTTTCCAGCATATGAAAAGCCGCGTCACGTTTTGAGCTTTTCGCCAAATGCAGGACGTAATTCACGATCGCCA